GTATTTAATTTAATTAGAACGGAGAGAGAATGTTTCGGAATCAACGTGGACGCGGCGCACGCTCGCGTTAACAGCGTGGATGGCCATGGAAATTTCTCATGGTCCCTTTGCGTTCGTTTCCACAGCCGTTAACGCTCGTCGTTCCATCCGGCTATCCGAGGTGTACCCGGCCTCGCTGCTCCGTTCCTCTATTTTTCTCCACCGGTTTCCGAGGGTGGTAAGATAACAGAGTCGGGGAAAATCGCGATGGCGCGGAGGGGGTAGCCGGGAATCTTTGACGCCGGTGTACCCCGGTGGAAGTCGTGGAAAAGTTCGAAGCCCGTGTACCCCGAGGATCCTCGACCAAGTTCGCGTCGGCTCGTGTATGCGCGCGCGTGTGTGTATGCACGTAGAGTAGAGGTATCTCCGATCGGGGAGCGAAATCGTTCCGCATACTTGCCGTGTATACGAGCGCGGCGCGTGTATGCAGGCAGGTAACGCGCGCTCGCGCATTTAGCGAATTAAAAAGCCGCGTGGTGGAATTTAAATTACTCGGGCTCGGGGGTTCGCGTAATCGTAACGGTTATATAAATAACGACGAGTAAAAAATTAGTCTGGAGATAATATCTGAGGGGCGTCTACGCGCAGCGTGAAGTCGCGATAGTCGACGAAATTCATGGAACGAGCTGTACAGCTCTGACAGGCGCCGTGTTACGATCGATTAAACGAACAGTCCAGACGGAGGGTTTAACGACGCCGTTGCGTTAATTAATTCCCGGTGATCTCAATTAAAATATTAATTACGGAGAAACAATGACCCGCTGACGGGTCCAGGCGCCGATGAGGATAGATCTGTCTTCTCCTTTCTCTCTTTTCCCTTCTCCCTTTACCCTCGCCACCCTCGTCCCCCCTCGCGATCCCGCTCCGGCCACGCGATGAATCAGAGGGGCCATCGTTGCGATGCTATTACGATTACCGTCCGTCTATAAGCTTATCTGATAACCACCCCATTATGCTCGAGGTTCTCGCGGCATCGGCGTCGCTGACTTGTCCGTCTGTCTGATCGTTCACGGAGTCGTTGCGCCGACACGGGACAGGGCCATTTGCATATTTCTGAACCGAGATACCCCGGAGGAAACAAGTGTCTCTTCTCTGGCCAATCTCATCGGCCGTCCGATCGTTGAAAAATCAACGAAACCTACCGGTGACAAGGATCTTAATGCCCCGGCTCGAAACCAGTGTATCGTTGCTCGATGTTCCACTTATCGGGAACCGTGAAAGGGGAGACGTCTCGTCGTCTCGTCCTGTCGTAGACTTCCTGGACACGTCGTCGTTCCGTTCTTCCGTCGTCCTCTCGCGAGCGTCACTATACCTCGTGGGGGCATTTTTGGGACACGTCTTCGGGAGCATTCGGGTTTACTTGTGACGCGAACAGGTTCACAGGGCGGAAGCGAGCGAATTTCTTTGTCATTGCGGTTAAACGGGGCACGCTTATTGAAAAAGTGACGAGCGCTTATCGAAAATACGATGATCGTGGAATGATCCAGCGATGGAGGATAACGCGGCGGGCAGGTCCGTAATAAAGACTATCCCGGGTCCGTGTGTACCGATGCATTTGCACGAGGCACGGACAACTCTGCCGGGAGAGTGGCCGTAGCACGCGAAAGCTGGGAACGTAGCTGGCTGCACCACCTGACGCGACGGGGGGTCAGAGGTTCTCATTCGACCCCCCGGGTTAGCCGGGAAAGGAGGGAAAAAGGATGTCGCACGACGACACACGCCACGGAGAGATCATCGAGTCGGACGATCGAGCGAATTTGCATACCGAGGGGGGGATGGGTGCGCGGCGCGATGGGGATTACCGGGAGAAATTAAATTAAGCGCGGAATGCGCGAGCTATGCGAGGCAGGCTTCTTCTTAAGCCGGCAGCGCTGATCGCCCTCTCGAATCACGATTTCACTTAAGGACACGCGAGGTGGTGTCGATCGATAGAGATATATCGGCCCCGGCTAATGATGACTCGACCGAATTCGGCCCGCTGCCCCCCGTCCCCTTGCCGTTGCCTCGTTGAAAGTAATTTACGAGGAGTCACGATTGATTCGGATACGAGTGTCGATGTGAGCACCTCGAACGGACGATGCAGCCGTGACGAGTGAAAATACAAACAGTTTAACAGGGATGAGTAGTCGTTTAGCGTTCTCGGGATCAGCCGCTCCTCGCTACCTCCTCTTCCTTCTTCCACTTCTCCTTCCTCCTTTCTTCCCTTCTTTCCCCGATGCCCCGTGCACGTAGGTGTGGTCGTGTGTTGCGAAAAGTGTCACGGAAATCGAGAGGGTTGTGCTCCGGGTCCTTCGAGTGCCCTTTGTATCGAGAGATTGCTCGCGAGATTACTTTTATTCCGAACCTCGTATTTCCAGCTATTTTCTCCGCCACTGCTGTACAAATTCGGTCGGGAAAGCAAATACAAGGATATCATATTATCCAGGAAACGTGTAACTCGGTTATCGAGTACGGTGGTTGCAACGAGAACGGGACCGGTATTTTAGACGAGATTATTCTGTCATTCTGGAAATTCAATCAACGATATCGTATATAAGAACGGGCAATTGATCGGGGGAATCGTTTAGAGATTTATCACGGTAGATGGCTAGGGGGATGACGATAGGGGGCGAGCAGGGTGCATTTTTAGCGACACATGCCAACGTAACAATAGGATTGTAGCGATCATCATTCACCTCGCTCATTGGATGGATGCCGACTTTGAGGACTTTCTTGCAAGTTCTAACTGTATAACTTCCCGACATTCCAATAGTATCCAATAGTATCTAAGGCAGGACCTGCTAAGGTAGCTTTACCGATGAATCCACTAGCAGGACCGGGACGAAACGCATCCCTTCCTCTTCCTTTCCGTAGGCATTTAATCTTTTATATAACGATAGAAGAAGGAGCAAGGGAGAACAATTTCAAAAAATTTATCCAATTAATTAACCCATAATTAACCCATAGTTGTGGTAGTGGTTGTCATAGAATGTGTGGTATGTGTTTGGAATGTTTGTGTGGAAAGATGTGTGTGACGAGTATGCCAGAGAGTCGCGAAGAAACAATCAGTAGATGAATGACAGTCATTACATATAGACGTTGTGTGTGATCCATAGTTGTGGTAGTGGTTGTCATAGAATGTGTGGTATGTGTTTGGAATGTTTGTGTGGAAGGATGTGTGTGTGACGAGTATGACAGAGAGTCGCGAAGAAACAATCAGTAGATGAATGACAGTCATTACATATAGACGTTGTGTGTGAGACAGTCCTCGAGAGATTATGTCGCAGTTAGAAGCGAATTATTTTACGAGATATAGTTATAATTTATGTTGTGCCCATTAAAAGGGTTAATATAATGAGAATGATTATGGTAGGGGAAGCAAGGGCCATCGTTCACGCGATTTTCGGATGATCGACTTCCTCTGTCCGTAAACGTGCAAGTGATAAGAATACATTACGTACTTTAACCCCTTGGCTACTGTGGACGCATATAAGCGCTCAACACAGTTTGCTTTTCTGACACGGAGGGCGCATCTCTACCCAAAATTTTGCCGTTCTCGGCGGACATTGTAAATGAATTCCTACCCCTGTTATACGACCGGTGCGTTTCAAAGTCTGCCGTAGTCAAAGGGTTAATCCCTTCCCGTATTTTGACGAATCTGACTCTTCGTGATGAAGATATTGGGTCGAACATGAATGTCACGAGCTAGACTCGTGCATAGAACATTTTTCTAAATATAGTTGTAAAACTGTCATCTAATATAAAATATAATATATTTATAATATCTATAAAAGGAAAAAGGATTAGAGTTTACGTCCACAACAGTAGTATCGCTTAACCGTTTGAGTGCCAGGGGTCATTATTGTTTCCCAATCGATATGTGCCAAGCGGCGCGATAGCGCTTGTCATATTCCGTGTCCAAAAATGCCGAGCGGCGCGATAGCGCTTCTCATATTCCGCGTTCACCAACCGAGCGCGCTGATTGTCAGCTTCGCAGCTCAGAGCGCTGGCACTTTTGGACACAAAATAGAAGAAGCGCGATCGCGCCGCTTGGCACTCAAACGGTTAAAACTGACTATATCGCACGTATTTACTATTTTCGAGCATCAGTCTGGTCTGTTTACCGCGTGCTGACACGCCTCCCGTTTGGGCCCCGATTTCGTCGAGCTAAATAGCACGGGAAGGGGTTAGGAGCAAAGATCGTGTTATTACCACACCCTATTTCCACTGATTATCCAACAAAACTTACCCTGGAGACTCTGTCAGAGATCATCTCCTCGCGTTTCCTCCGCCAGCCCCCTCGTCGTCAGAACCCCCCATGTAGCACTGGCAAAAATTGCAGGGAAGGATAGGGAAAATTATTAGGAAATAGTTAGAGTAAAAATAACGGTGGAGTAAAAATAAATACGTAATTCTGGTGATGGAGGAGTAAAGCAGCCACAGGCAACAGCGAAAGCTGCATCGGACCATTAGCGGCGTTCCGCGAGGCTGATAGAGACCCACTCTATCCAGCGCGCAGCGTCGAGACAAAGTTCGCCGCAGGCCGGCTGGAACGCTTGCCCTCGAACCGGTGGTGGTCGACAGGGGTTGCGTAAGTTGGTCCAACCTCCTGCGGTCTTGCGTCAGAGAATCAATTATTGGATCCGTATATCAATCTGATGACCGAAGCGCGTTCGTGGTGCGCGGCGCCCCGCTGCTTTTACGCATTTTCTTCTCCCCGTGCTCCCCGTGGCCCTTGTGCGCGTTCGTAACCGCGAGGGCACGTCGCTCTCTCCGGGCGAGAGCAGGACGAAACGGCGAAGGCGGAGAGAGGAGGAGAGCGCACGGTTCTCCGTATGGTCCTGCAGGACCATATAGAGCGATCGCGAGCGGACGACCGGTTCCCTCACGGTGTTTCACGGCGATCCACCGTTCGCCCCGTGACGTAGCGCGTAACGTTCATTTCTCCAGCGTACTCACCCATTTTCTTCTTTTCCCCGCAGGGCGCCGACGAGGATGACAGCGCTTCCGTTGCCTCGGTAAGTTGCTCGCGCCGAGGATCGCGAGCCAGCGAGCGCGGACCGCGTCGCGGAATCCGCTGGAGAAACCGATCTCGCGGTATCCAGATCTCAATTAAAATTACCGCCTTTTCATCGCCACGCGGATCTCTCTGTGCGACGCTGTCCCCGCTCGTGTTGCTCGTTATCGCGCTCGCTCGATATCGCGAGTAACCCCTGTTAATCGAGGCAATTATTGCTTTGGCAAGTAGCAACTGGACGGGAAGTCACGGGAGTGGTTGGTGAGAGCTGCGCAAGGGGATTATCAGGCATTGGCGAAACTGGCCGCGGAAGAACCTCGCCTCACCCGGCTCAAGGTATGTTAAAATTCACCTTCCTGACTCTCTTTCGTCTCCTTTTATTTTACTCTCTTTCTCTCGGATATTTCCAGTATTTCTCTTTGTCTCTGTGTAATTTTTGTCCGCAACGTGGAGCGATTTATCGAAGTAAGTTGGTTGCATAAATTTCGGGCGGGAGAATCGATAGGGGTCAGAGCGGATGACCCGGATAAGGGCGGCCGAGACGTCGGTCGTAAATTTCTTTCGACTTTGAAGCGATCCCCCTGCGGTTTCGGTTGCGCGTGCGGCCCGTTAAAAAATCGTAGATTCCCGCGCGATTTGTCCGGCCGTGTGTTTACCGTGTTCGCGTAGAGAAAGGGGCGCGCTGGTCCGCGCAATGGATCTCATTGAATTACGGCCACGCCGCCTCGGGTGATAATGACAAAGGTGGCGGGCCAGAGGTTCGGAAATATAATTACGGTGTGGCTTACCGTAGGCCCGGGATCAGGCCGTTATTACACGCACGGCAGAACTTAACACCTGCGGCGTTGTAAATTCGCCGTTTTCGCGCTCCGCCATTGACAGGTCAATAAATCTAAGAGCCCCCGTGGCAATCAGGCAGCCGGTGTATACCAAACCGCCAATATGTGGAGCGGATCACCAGTGTCCGATAGCGAACGAGTTAAGGATTACTCGCGCTATCGATCCTCGGATATAATCCCCGTACGCACGGCAGCAAAGACACGGAGGAATCTTTTCTCCTCCGAGGGGGTAGCGGCTAACACGTCCCGTATGTGTTCGCTCACCTTCCGACGACTTTCTACTGCCCCCACCGTGCGAGCAAAATTCACCTTGCGCAATCGAGGCTGGAGAAAAAGCAGCGACCTCGTGCGGTAGAAACCGTGTCAATCGAATTCTACCAGCCGCTTTCTTCGAAACGGTTAATTAAGCTAAAACGACTATCGTGTACAAAGCGCGGACCGATGATCAGAGCGGCAGCAGCAGCGAGCGATAAAAAGTGTTCAGCGTGGACTTTGTGGACGCCGTTGTCGTGGTCGTAGTCGTGGTCGTTGCTGTTAACACGCGTCGTTTTCTGGCCCGAATAGTTCGAACGGGCCCTAACGGGCGCGTTCACGGGCTGCGCGGATGGAAAAGGCGGAGAGGAAGGAAGAAGGGGATGAAGCAGGCGGCCAAAGGTGGGGATGTAGCACGAGGTGGCCTGTGTGGAGGTGGCGGTCTGCGAAAGGGGTGGAGGCGGCTGAACCATGCTGAATTCATTCCGCTGGACAAGGTTGCCCCACACCCTGCTCCAGGCCACGTCCGCCTCATCCCTTGGGATAAATTGGTCGAACCCGCGTGTTTGCGGATAACATCGCCGCGATATACGCTCGCCTATGGCCGCCGTACGAACGTAACCATACACGGCTCCCTTTTTGCGACGAGTCTCGCGCTCGCGGAAATTGGCAACCAACTCCGGCCTCTCTGTTGTCTTTTTCGCGTCTGCTCTCTCCCTGCAGTATCCTACACGCGCCGTCTATCACGCGGCCGTGCCGCCGCTTTTGCATCGCTCGCGTCTGCTAGCCGGAGAAAACGCGGAAAAATACTTTTCCCTATTTGCCGTGGGTCGCGCTTTCGTTTCATTTCGCTTTGTCTTCCTTTTCACGGTTTCGAAATTTCCTAGTTATTTTCTGGGACGCCTCGAGGTGTAGTTCTCGTTAGCTGTGCGCATGGGCTTCGTAAAAGCGATCGAGGTATTCGGTTGTTGGAAAAATTCGCTGTCCGATCGGTACTCGACGGGTGACCAACGTCGTCTCGTTAGTCAAGGCTTCGACACGTGGATATATGTAGGTATATATATTAATCCGTCGATGAATATGCAACGACCAGGCTGTGAGAATGCGAGGGCGATGGGATGCGGGAGACAAAGCGAAGCAAACGACACGGGGGTGTCGTTTGCGGGTGGGCAGGGGAACGTCGGTAGGCATTCCAATTACTTCCCCTCCGGTAATTAAATCAACACGGAAGCTAATCAACGTCGGTGCCGTGCTCGACGTATCCTCTCCCCTTTGCCGAATTTTTGCCCGGATAAATAAATCGGACGACTAGCCGATAAGCGAACGGAAAATCGTGTCTCACAGTTCGCCACGGTTCTTTACAAAGATGTCGAGGGGAATAATCGGGGGAACGTGGATGGGTGGAAATGAAGGTATCCTTGGACGGGACGGTGCGCGAATTTCGGATAGTTGGATATCGCGTGTCCGATCGAATGACGGGGACCGATAAAAATTCAACGCGAAATCTCGATTGACCTCCTTTTTCTCCTTTTTCCCGCCACGCTCGATTCGTCTCGCATTAATTAGCCACGGGGAGAGGGTCGATCGGTATTCCCGCGCTTTTGTGCCGATTGTTCGGCAGCCACCGTCGACAGTCACGGCGCGTAGCTTTCTTTTCCCGCGGATGGTTTACGAGCCCGTATTAAAGAGTCGTTCGCACACGTGGCCTACGTGATCCGTGGCCGAACGTCGTAGACGGCCATTGTATTCGCTGGGTCAGGTGTACATCGTCGTCCGGGTACCGTGTGCCCATTATACTTTATTAACGGACGCGTCTGGCATCGCGATAGATTCGCTCCTTCGATTTCTGCGTCCCCCCGTACGATGTCAGGACGGCTGCATCGGTTCACTCCTCCTCTGCTCCGTTATGCCCGATTTCGTGGAATCGTTAGCAATCCGTTTTTGCCGCTTTCGACAGGTGCGATGCGCCACGGCTCACGCTCCGTCGAGGTCTCCGCGAACGCGGTATCCTCGGATGCTAAGTCCTCGAACGCTACGTCCTCGAATGCGATATCCTCGAACGCTAAGTCCTCGAACGTTAAGTCCTCGAACGTGATATCTTCGAACGCGATATTCTCGAACGCTAAAATATCCTCGGATGCTAAGTCCTCGAACGCTACGTCCTCGAATGCGATATCCTCGAACACTAAGTCCTCGAACGTTAAGTCTTCGAACGTGATATCTTCGAACGCGATATTCTCGAACACTAAGTCTTCGAACGCTAAGTCCTCGAATGCGATATCCTCGAACACTAAGTCCTCGAACGTTAAGTCCTCGAACGTGATATCTTCGAACGCGATATTCTCGAACGCTAAGTCTTCGAACGCTAAGTCTTCGAACGCTAAGTCTTCGAACGCGATATCCTCGAACACTAAGTCCTCGAACGTGATATCTTCGAACGCGATATTCTCGAACGCTAAGTCCTCGAACGTGATATCTTCGAACGCGATATTCTCGAACGCTAAGTCTTCGAACGCGATATCCTCGAACGCTAAGTCCTCGAACGCTAAGTACTCGAACGCGATATCGTCGGTCGCGATATCCTCGACTCGGATTGTATCCCGGAGCGGCCGCAGGAAAACGCTAAGTCTTCGAACGCGATATCCTCGAACGCTAAGTCCTCGAACGCTAAGTCCTCGAACGCGATATCGTCGGTCGCGATATCCTCGACTCGGATTGTATCCCGGAGCGGCCGCAGGGCCCCGTTGGACGCGAGAGAATCGCGCGCACGCGGTATCGGTGGGTCCCGAAGCGGAGTTGGCGTTGCCGCGTAAGAACGAACAAGGCGGAGGAGAGAAGGCACCGAGAACGAAAAGCTGTTAAGAACGATCACGGCGTTATATATTGGCGGATGAGAGGAGCGCGCGGCTTTAGCATCCGTGCGTGTATTTATCAGCTGGTATCGGTTGGTTTAATAACGCCAGGCAATCAGAAGGTGTTCCCTCCTACCTACTTCTGCATTCGCTGCCCCCACGCCTCCGCCGGTCGATAAATAATAACCATTTGTATCGGATTCTAATTACTCGCTCTAAGCAAACAAATAAACGGCAGGTCGGGGAGACGCAGCATCGTGAGAGGCAGGCTTAATGTTATGGTGGCTGCAGGCTGATTTAAGGAGTGTGGGACCGCCCACCTCGAAGATGCATCTCCAGCCCGGCCATCGGTCCACCTGTTATGAGTGTTTCAACGCCACTGTGCGTTCTTCTTTTTCTCCCGGCTCGCTCGATACCTGTTGCCGATACGGAGCAGCCGAGAAAAGTATCGGAAATACCGTGGCCGTAATTAAATTGCCAGGAACCGTGATCGTCGAACCCGCCGTTCATCCCCGTTCCGTTGCAACGTGCAACGGACGAAAGGGAAAGGGACACCCCGATCGCTTTAATCCCGTGAAACTGTCGGTCGTCGGGAAGCGTAAGCAAAGATGCTTCGAAGCGTTCGTAGCGTTCGAAGCTCGTGCCCGGAGCGAGTGCTGGCGCGCAACGCGGAGCTATATCATCGACAGAGTCAGAGACGGAGCACAGGACGGTAAGAAGGAATTCGTTTCCAGAGGCGAGCGATCCTTTTTCGCAACGACGAGCGGGATGATCGATAAGAGAGGCCGGGCGAGAGGAGAGACGCGTTCGTTTTCGCTTAAAAGGTCGTCGAAAAATGCCGACGGTAGTTCGTTACCGGTGGGCTATTAGCGGGCGTAACGCACGTCCTGGCAGCGTCGCAGGACTAAGTAAACCCTGGCTAACAAGGAGGCGTATCCAACGGCCACGAATGATCTACCGATCCAGAGTTGGCATTATTTCGTTCTCCGTTTCTCTACGCCGGGCCCGCGGTATCCTCTTTCCACCTCGTGCATCCTTCTTACCCTTCACGACCCTTTTCTCGCTACGACGAGCGCGTACGAGCGTCCGTATAGGCAGAGAGCCGTACCTCTACCTGCGCCACCTACCTACGCCCCCGAATATTAACACTTTGATTTATGCGCGTAATTATCTCTAGTTATTTTCTCAGGGAGGCACGGCGCGCGTTCTTTCGTTGCCTGTCTTCGTAGCTGCCGGTGCTGCTGCCGCTGATACACAACAAATTAACCGTTCCTTCTTCCGCCTCTTCTTATCCCGCTCGCTCGGCCTCCCCGTCAGCTCGGCCTCCTCTGCACCTATATCCTCCGTCTTTCCGTTTCCAGCCAGGCCGTTTTCCAACTGGAGGCCGGGGACT